CTGACAAACAGTTGAGCAAACACCCAGAATATTGTCTTGACGAGTTTACTCAAACCAACATGAATCAGGCAGCGAACCAACGCGAATCTAACGACAGGATACGAGGCTTTCTATTGCTTGAATTTTACGAAGGGCGACGCAAGGAATTGCAGAATTGCGAGATGTTGGAGTCGCTTTTGGATGAAGTTTCATGACTGCATTTCATGTCAATCTCAGTTGCGGATCTCAGTTTTTTAAGTTCGGGATGTTCCCCGTAACATGCATGCATCGTGGTTAAATATGTACACATTAAATTGAAAACGCAAGAGGAGAAACTTGCTGTAGGTACATTTAATTCAATCTGTAGAAAACTTTATACTTTTTAAACTAGGATCAAAACATTTGACTTCATCTATTTGGAAGAGATTTTTCAAGTATGCGCCCCGAAATTTTAATGGACGAAGATGTTTCATTCATGATTTAAGTGAAACCTCGCTTTATAAATAATGCTCCCGGGATAAGCTCTTATCATCAAACGACGCTCGTTTGACTTCAGAGGAGCTGATGATCCAAGAGAATATAAAACTTCGGCGCATCCCATATACCGCGGGATAAAAAACATCCATGAAAAATATACCCACGCGCAGGAACAGACGTTCTAATCTCGCACTTGAATAATTTTAGAATTCGTTAGCTGGGCTAGTGACGTAAATAAATCTGCTACGATTCAGTAATAAAAATAAATGTTTTTTTTTGTAGATAGGCGGTTAAGTCCAAACAAATTTGGAGATTAAAATAGAGCGGAGAGCAGAACAGGTATGACACATTGGGAGGTTGTAGTTCTAGGTGAGGTGCAGGTGCTGCTTAAAACAAATACGGGGTGAATGGAAAAGCGGACCACGTACGATCCTGCATGTTTGCTCACCCAACGCAATACAACAACCCGAATTTTAGCTTCAGCTGTTTTTTGCTTAACTTGCTTCACCTGAATTAACTGTTTCATTTTACTAACTTGAATCACTTAAATACTCGTTCTCAACCAATCACTCTTCGCCCAGAAAATGAGTGCTACTTTTTGAATATTGTTATGCAGTTTCCACCGCAGTGTGGGGCATCTTGACCAAGTATGGCCCAACAGACATGTTCCACCACCGCGATCTGCTTTATCACTTGGTTAAGAGAGTGAGTCACTGTTTTGATCAACATTACCAAATTATTCTTCTGAGTGCAGGCAAAAGACTTACTGCACCCTTCCCTTCTCCCCTTCATAAGCAGTGAGATTTGCTCTGCCCTGCCGCCGAGACGCGTTGGGGGCAACCTAATTTCGCCTAATAATTGCAGGCAATTACCGCGAGCAAGTCTCTCATGTTAAGCTTCGCCCGAATAACATCGCAGAAATTGTATACTCTATTATGCGCACCTTCGTGGAATTGCATTTCAGAATTGCGAAGAAGACAAGAAATTCAAGGAATTTTGCATTAAGAGTTGTGCTAGCGTTAATATATTACACTTATAAGAGCATCATAATGCTGCTACGAATGTCTGTAAAAATCATCATTAAACATTACGAAATTTGTTCTCATTTAAGAGTATATAATTTAGTGACACCAATTTCCATGCCCACAAACATGTCTGGGGAAAAATTTTTTACCACATTGTTAGAATTAATTGTGATCCTTACGGAAATAAAACAAATTAAATTTTCAATAAAAATCGCAATATTTTTAGCGCATTTTCTCATATAATGGAAAAAAGTACTATTGTGCTCGTCATGTCCGTCAGTCTGTCCGTCCGTGACTTCACTTTTTCGTCGACGAAAAAATGAGCTCTCTGTTACTCACTGCAGTGAGTCCTGAGTTGTATTTTTTTACATTAGATATGGCCAGAGACAATCAAAGTTAAACAACGTGAAGTGGTCACAAGTGCGTACCTTCTAACTTATTCTCCTGCGATAGCATCTCTATGAAGAAAATATAATTTGTAACCGAGCTCTAGAATTGACAATAAAATATCAACATCGTCGTTGTGGCTTATAATTTTTACCAGAGGTAAATCATTCAAATACATATCGTGGTAACAACTTTTATTGCTTATTCCTTTGGTTTTAGTCTCTCTTGTCTAGTTGGTTGTATGCAACTCACCTGTTGCAGATTGCAGGGGCAAACTTTACTCTGGATGAGTAAAGAGATTTCATTGTACTTTATAAGACAAGCAACGGTTAAGCAGCCGTTATGTAAGTAACATATGTGATTGATCTTAAATATCACTTCAACATATGTTCACATCGTATTTTCTTTCATCGCATTTCGTGTTCAGGCCATGGCTAAAAATATTCGGTTTGTGATTAAAAATACTCCAGTGATAGTTAGAAGTATTCGGTCGACGGTTAAAAATATTTAGGGTTAAAAATATTTGGTCAAAAGTTAAAATTATTCGGTCAGCAGGTAAAAATATTCGGGCGGCGGGTAAAAATTTTCGAAGCATGATTAAAAATATTCGAGTGACGGTTAAAAATAATTGGTCGGAGGTTTAAATATTTTTCGTAGGTTGAAATTATTCGGCCGACGGGTAAAAATATTCGATGAATGGTTGAAAATATTCGGGCGATAGTTGAAAATATTCGGTGGGTGTTTAAGAACATACGTTTGCTGGTTTGATAAATTCGAGCGATGTCTTACAATTTTCATTCGCTTGTTAGAAAAATACCGGCGATGACAGCAAAAACACAGAATATTCGCTACGTGGCAAAGAAAAATAGAATTTGCTATATAGAAATTTTGTACTCACCACTGGAGGGACGAAACTCAACTTGAAGAGGCGATGTTCACTGCAATGAACTGGAGCATGGAAGGCGGAGTGGAGCACGGAGGGAGGAATGGAGCACGGAGGGAGGAGTGGAGCACGGAGGGAGGAGTGGAGAACGCCGCACGGAGTAGGGAGTGGAGCACGCCGCACGGAGTAGGGAGTGGAGCACGCCGCACGGAGTAGGGAGTGGAGCACGCCGCACGGAGTAGGGAGTGGAGCACGCCGCATGGAGTAGGGAGTGGAGCACGCCGCACGGAGTAGGGAGTGGGGCCCGCTAGGCGGAATGGAGCATGGAGGAGGGAGTGGAGCACAAGGGGAAGAGTGGAGCATAGGGGAGGGAGTGAAGCACGGATAGGGAGTGGAGCACAGTCGAGGGAGTGAAGATCGGAGGAGGGAGTGGAGCACGGGACCCTGGGGGAGTGAGTGGAGCACGGGGAAGGGAGTGGAGCTCGAACCGGGGACAGTGAATAATAAAGTTTTGATAAAGTAATGCACTTCCTCAGCTTTGTTGAACTTTTAATTCATTTATACATTGATTAGCTCAAATTTCTGTTGATATTTAAATCAGTTCAGAAAACAGTTATTTTTCACCAATATAATAAACTTTTTCATTGAAAATACTTCAGCCAAGCAACGGAAGTTATCTCACTAATCATGTCTAATGCAAGTAATGGCGACCAATTTTAGAGACACGAGTGCACAAACTTTCACTAATAACTACAGAGCAGCAGAATATTCCGGCTTGAGGACGATATGAATATAAAATTGCAAAATAATGTTAATCAAAATTGTTTAAAATTTATACTGCATCATTTCGCAGAACTGAAACATCATTTTCAAAAAGCTTCATTTGAAGTTTACACTTCCACTCAATCACGGCTACATTAGAACTGCTAGATTTGGAGATGGTATTACTACGCGTGCGTGCGGCGGGTAACATTTTAAGCGATAAAAATTTTGGTGGCATTATTGTACTGCAGTATGATTTTCTAATTTTATACTAAAATAAGGATTGATTTATAACTTATATTAATTATTTAATTTTAATTTGCTCGCCAATCATACAATAGAAACTCGTTTGAATATGTTTCAACATTATTTGATATTTTACAAATCCTTTCTCTGTCACTAATTTTATTGTTCGCTATCTCTTGCTAAACGTCAGTCCAGGAATAAATTGATTTGGCTTAAATTTCCTATTCAGACCTTACGTATACGCGCCATGAATTACGTCTTAATTGAGCTACAGTATCTCCTTACATCACGTCTTACCTCACGTCTTACCTCACGTCTTACCTCACGTCTTACCTCACGTCTTACCTCACGTCTTACCTCACGTCTTACCTCNTGGAACACGTGGACTCAAACCCCCTGGAACACGTGGACTCAAACCCCCTGGAACACGTGGACTCAAACCCCCTGGAACACGTGGACTCAAACCCCCTGGAACACGTGGACTCATAATCCTGAACAAAATCGCAGCGTCCCAGAGGCGGCCTGTTCATGAGCGGCTTGATTGAGCCTAAAACGAGCAGTGAAAATATAGCTTCAATATACATTTTATTTTAATTTACATCCTTTAGTTAAAAATATTTGTAAATTTAAAATTTAAATAAAAATTCGACAATTAGCTATAAATATTTCTAAAAACTATGACGAATGGGCATTTTCATGAAAAATTGAATGATTGATCAGAATTTTTTTGTTGTGAAGTTTCTTTCTGTAATATTCATCATATGAGAGACCATGATATGCAAGAACGCCACGTATCGTTAGGTTTCACTTTCTAAAAATAAGCTTATTTTACCGAGTTGAAAAGGTTTTTACTAGTGGACAGATGTTTCAGCAGGTGGGGTGACTCAAAACGAGTTTTAAAATAGACACATCAACCGGCAGTGGTCGGTCGTGCGTGACATTTCCAGTCTGTACTTCGTCCCGACAACAGTTGTAACCCACGTCGTCTTCATTGTAACGTGTAACATAGAGTGGCAGAGCGCACTTATCACAATATATATCAGGACGAATTGTAACATCAGTAGTAAGGTAGGTATGATGAGTTATAACCCAGCAGCTTGGTATTAATTTTCCGATAATATATTTTTTCATTCTAAAATGTTATAATAATAATAATAATATTAATACTAATTATAGTATCAATAAATATTGGTATTTAATCCACGGAAATTTCCCGTATTTTTTTCAGTATCAGGCGGCGCACGATGATGAGGTCGTCCCTTGTACTGACGGTGACATTCATCGTCCTCAGATCCGCCGTGAGTACTGCGCACCTTTGCGTATTTTATGAGGTTATGTGAGCAGTTTATAATTTAGAAATATTTACTGTTTCGTGAGGTTATGTGAGCAGTTCATCATTTAGAAATATTTACTGTTTCGTGAGGTTATGTGAGCTGTTTATCATTTAGAAATATCTACTGTTTTGTGAGGTTATGTGAGCTGTTTATCATTTAGAAATATCTAGTGTTTTGTGAGGTTATGTGAGCTGTTTATCATTTAGAAATATCTACTGTTTAGTTAGGTTATGTGATCTGTTCATCATTCAGAAATATCTTCAGTTGTAGAAGGTCATCTGCAGGTGCTTCTTACATCATTATTTAATAATATCTTTAATTTTATTACAAATGTGTGGAACGCTCGTGGAAAGGTTGAGCATTTTGCGAGGTTCATCTAACCAGAGGTCTGGCGTTGAATTTACGTTTACGTCAATAAAGTCAACTCGCTTTCAGCTTTTTTCATCGTTATTTGCTTGGAGTGTCTGAACGGCCCTACCGATGCTTGTTTCACCATGTAAAAAAATATTGTTTATCGACATATATTCAATATAAATAGTTGCAAGTTCTAGATGTTGCTAGTAAAAATCGGATATTTTGGTTGACGTTGAGATGTTATATTTTACAATGTCGCCGCTTGAGTTGACACAAGAAACCTAAACCATGCTCTGACAAAAAAGAATGACGTTTCATTTCACGTTGCAATTGGCCACTAGAACGCTCGTCAGAGCGTTTCTTGAGCGTCGTTTCCAACAACGAGTATATATTCTTTAAGAAAGGCGTTATTTCATAATATTTTGAATAATAGCTCGTGGTTAGATTGAAGATAATTGTGCCGTAGCGCCATAAATTAACCTGCTCGCAAAGCTTGCTATATATCTAAAATATGGCACATAAAGCAGCGCAACATACAGACGCATCTGTTGTGCAACATGTGCCTTGAATTTTCAAGAATTTCCGTACGTGTAAAAAAAATTGTGTTACAAAGAAAACAATATGACAAATTCTTTTTTCTGAGAGTGAACTGACAAGATGACATATTCTATGAATGTTTTCACTTTATTCAGTATTTTTTTGTGCGGAGTTATTGTGTTGTTACAAGTGAAAATATATGTTGAAAATTTTTCGAAATTCAATTCAATTTTTTAATGCGTCCATTTGATTTGTTTCAGGTTTGCCAGGACGTAAGTGATCTCCGACGAGGTATAAAATTCTTGTTTAGTTAGGTAATACAATTAATAAATTATATAGAAGTTTTAAGGAACTTAATATGAGCCTGGAAAAACTGCTAGTTTAATACGATGTTGTGCGAGCACATGGCTATCGGATTCAATTATGCTACTTCCTATCGACAATTTCTTTCAATTTCATTCGCTGTCACAATGGAGACATATGCTTTTGTTCTATTCACACACTTTTATAGTTGTCTCTCAATTTTATCCACGTATAAAATATTCTTCAAAAATTTTTGCAATACTTTTATCCAATCCAATACTTTAATCCGACATTCCTGTTCTATTTACAATATTTATTTCTTAAATATTATGTTAAGAAGTAGACTTTCTGAGGTATAAGGTTAAGTAATTTAATGTTATAAGTACAATGTTGAGTTTTTACTTTCTAAAATATACGTAATATTAAGTTCTGTAGTTTCTTAGGTATAAAGTTAGGTTCTGTAGTTTCTTTGTTTTTTTTTAAGTCTCTTTGAGTGTCAGCTGGGCTTCTGGCCATGTTTCTTATTGGATTATTCCAAATAAGGACACATGGATGCTCCACATGTACAAATTAGATACCTAACTAAAAATCCCGGTCACAATAAATACGTAAAGAATTTGCTTCAGTTGCTTGCTGAAAGTTTGAATTAATAATGTGTACAGCCTCTTGTGTACAGCCTCTTGTGTACAGCCTCTTGTGTACAGCCTCTTGTGTACAGCCTCTTGTGTACAGCCTCACAAGATGTAGCACTATTCTGAGAGGGAATATACACACCGCAGGCTGCAGACTCTGGGGCAGTAAGGCGAGAACCATCACAGAAGATAACTAGTGACGAAATGAGTAATGACCGAACAAAACAAATGGAAGATTCTACTAAATCGCGGAGGTCGTGTGAGTGACTCCGGAATTTGAGCATGACGAGTAAAAAATTTTCGTATTCCTCGAGTGTTAATCATACAAATTAATCGCAATCAATACTCACCCACAGTGCTTGAAACAGAAAATCATCATTGCGTCATCCTTTGGACGATTAAGCTCATGAATATCTCAACGTATTTTGCAAGGAGAGAGAAAACAGGTTAAAAAGTAAAAAAATACAAATTCAGGGCTAACAACTTGAAAATAGGCTTGATTGAGCCTATTGCAAAGTATAAAATAAAAAAATATAACTCAGTCCTCACTGTAGTGAGTGACAGAGAGCGCATTTTCTTGTGGACGAAAACTTGAGGTCACGAACGGACAGACGGACGGACAGACAGACGGACATGGCGAGCACAATAGTGCATTTTTCCATAAATGAGAAAATGCGCTAAAAAGTGCAAAGAGCTCTATTACCGTGAATAAGCCACTGTTCCTATAAAAATCCCCGCTCCGCACTCTAAAAAAACATTACGCAGGTTTCATTTAAAAGCCAGCTGGAATTCGTTTTATTGACAAATTTATTATTAGTTTATTTTCAACATATCGAACAATATTATTACAACACTTCTTTTTAAACTCACTTCTTGTTTGTCTGTCTGTCTGTCTGCTACAAATCTTATAACATAACATAACATATTGGCGCTGAAGTGTAGGCCTGATGTGGCCTGTCACCGATTCTTTTCCTTTTCGTGCCTTGTTCACAGAAGATCTAAAATCGTGTCATTTGACCGGATCTTTTCATGACTGACAATAGTTTCAAGTAGCTACTAGACTTCCACCGGGTTCGATATGGTGCTAGGCAATTCAAATCTGGACATATATTTTTCAATAGCTTTATCTAGTCTGTTCTTGAACGCGTTCATACTTGGAGCGCCAACGATGTCATTGGGAAGGCTGTTCCACATGTCGGTGATTCGAAGCGAGAAAAAATTTTTTCGCGTGGAGAAGTTGCAGCGCGGTTTTTTTAGTTTATAGCCGTGGCCCCTGGCGTTGGTTCTTGTTTCAAATTTTAGTAATCCTTCGGGAACCTTGTATAAACCATGAGTATTAACACAAACTTGCGCGGGCTCAACGGGGTAGGGAAAAGTTGACGTGCTTTTTCTCCCGTTTATTTCATATACTTGAGTGACGTAAGACGAGGTGGTTTTGGCAGGCAAGAAGAAGACTACTACTGGCGTTTTCTCGCTTATGCTAGCGTTTGCCAACGCTGGGTTGGGCTTTGATTACGATTAGTGCCAACGCCTGCGGTTGGGCTTCAAGTGCGATTACAATACCAGTAAAACGTGGTAAAGGGAACAGTGAACAGTGAACTTATAATCGAAATTTAACACACTTCTACTTATCCTATCGATCTGAAATTTTGCACACTTGCGTAAAGTTGGAGACAATGCAAGAATCAAATGACAAAATAAAAGATTTTAAAAATTAATTCTTTTTCAATATTAAAAAAATTGAAAAAATAATTTTGTCAGCTACAAATCTTATAACTGATATTTGACACACTTTTACCTGTCCAATTGACCTAAAATTTTGCACACTAGTGTGAAGTCGGAGGCAATGCATGAATCAATTGACAGAATAAATAATATCGAAAAAATTTATATATTTAAATTAATTGAAAAATTAATTTTTTGATATGCGAAAAAAATTAGAAATTCATTGTACATCTGTAACATTGGAAACACTGGATTCTTTAGAAGTGTTGCTTTAAAAAGTAATTTTTAAACGTATATTATTTTTCGTTTGCACAGGTAAATCGAAAATCTGGGTACCGATGGACATTTTTATTTCGTTAACGACGTTTCGAATGTTACGAAAGTGGACCAAGGAACATCCTGATGGAAGCCCACAGCGAGACCATCACCAGTACGGTGCTGGAAGAGTGCACCAGCGTCGTCATAAGAAGCCCCGACGCCAATTAACCGACTCGCGATAGCTGAGGCCCTCATCATTGAGGATTGGACCCCAGTCATCAACCTACAGAGTATACTGGATTTGTCAGAACCTTGAGACTGTTTTCGGAGTGATTTTTGGTGTTTTGATTTTTGCTTAATATTTTCGTAATAATATTATTTTAATATTTCTAACCAATTCTGTTTTTTGAGTAGCATCCTATTTACATAAATTTGTATCTATGTCGATCCAAATTTTGTCACTCAATGCATCTTATAACTTGATAATGAATGATTGAAACATTCAAAACGTCGTTGACGAAATAAAAAAATCCATCGGTTCCCTGATTTTCGACTTACCTGTGCAAACGAAAAATATTGTTCTATATGTTGAAAAAACGAATGAAAAAATTTCCAATAAAACAAATTCTCCGGTATCTAATGTCACCTGCTTAAAAGAACAAATTCTGCCAACTTATACTAAAAAACATTAATTAGCTGTCATTTATATAGTTTAAAATATCACCGTACAGATTGCCGTAGATTTCTGAATCTCAAATTGCTTTACTCTCAAAGTACATAGGACAGTGAGTATAGTAATAAAATTAGGAAAATCAATTACTAATAAAATGTATATTGACATTGGGCACTTGCTCAGGGTGATACTGCGCAGTTTCGACTTCCTCGACGAAGATTTGTTTATTCTGCCTGGCAGAACAAACCAAATAAGGGCAAGGTGGGGCCCAGTGGTTACAGTTCGAGTACCAAGATTGGCGCAGAGAGGCGCGGGTTCGATCCCAGCACTGTGCGCCAGTTTCTGGTCAGAATCGGCAAGGAGGCCGGGCGGAAGCACAGCAGTATTGTAGCAGTGAGTTGCGAGTTCAAGACCGCAATTCAAGCTGTGAGTGTTCTGCGATGGTAAGAATCGGCGACAGGCCTACGGCCTAATAAACGCTGATACCGCTATTATTATTAACCGCTTCACAAGACTATGTGCTGACATTGAAGACGTTCAGAGAGGCCACCAAGCTCCTCTCTTCGATCAGAGACTTGCCATACTCCGAGAGGTTTGAAGCGTTGCGTTTCCCCAGCCGTGACATTGAAGACGTTCAGTGTTCGTTCAGTGTTCTGAAGACGTTCGGTGGAAGTCTAGTAGCTATTTCAAACTATTGTCCATCATGAAAAGATCCGGTCAAATGACACGATTTTTAGATCTTCTGTGAACAAGGCGCGAAAAGGAAAAGAATCGGCGACAGGCCACATCAGGCCTACACTTCAGCGCTGACATCACTATGTTATGTTATGTTATGAGCACAGGCTCCTGCAGGATGACCTTACCGATACGTACAAGTACGTGCACGGACTGTACAGGGTGTCAAAGTTTAAGTTCCAGTTATCCAGCAGCAGGAATACTAGAGGCCACTCGATCTCTGAAGCTCGCAAAGGACAGATGTCGATTCAGCGTACGTAGCAACTTCATTCACAGCTAGTAATTAACTCATGGAATAGTCTGACAGCGTCGGTCGTCACAGCGCCCTCGGTAAACATCTTCAAGAGCAAGTTCGGCAGTCTTTGGAAGGACTGCCCGGCCCTGTACAGCCCGTCATGCTACGAGTGATGGGTATCCGAACAGACACTGCAGCGTGAGCGGTGCTGGTAAAAGTTGTTGCTGCCCGATGAACAGGACCGTAAAGAACCTATAGCATCGTATTGTCAAAATCGAAGTTAGGGTGGCTCAGTGGTTAAAGTTCAAAGTACTAGGATTGGAGCAGAGAGGTGCGGGTTCGATCCCAGCTCTGTGCGCGTATTTCTGATCAGAATTGGGTAAGCAAAGCAAAATTGGAGCTGTGAGTTGCGAGTTTGAGACCACAACAAGCTGTGAATGTTCTGCGATATTAATAATCGGCAACAGGCCTAGGGCCTAATAAATGCTAAAACCGCTATTGTTGTTGTTGAATCAACACTTGAACCTTTCGTGGGGTGATTCAGACAGCGATGACCACGACCGCATTGATTTCACTGCTGTAAGGCTGTTATTATTTATTGTTATTATTATAAGTTTTAACTTGTGTCGCATGACAACAGTACAAGTTTTAAGTTGTATCGCAAGACAGAACTACAAATCGTAAGCTGTTTCGCAAGACGGCAGTATATTTTTTTCGGGTTGGAGGGCTTCGTTATGGTGCTGCTGGCTGGTGTGGTTGTGGTGCTGCACGCTGGTGTGGTTGTGGTGCTGCACGCTGGTGTGGTTATGGTGCTGCACGCTGGTGTGGTTGTGGTGCTGCTGGCTGGTGTGGTTGTGGTGCTGCTGGCTGGTGTGGTTGTGGTGCCGCACGCTGGTGTGGTTGTGGTGCTGCACGCTGGTGTGGNTAGTGCACACGTTAGCCAAAGGAACTTTGTGATGTCATAATTGTCATTATAAGCTAGTGCACACATCAGCCAAAGTTATTTAGTTACATGTCATTATAAGCTAGTGCACACGTCAGCCAAAGTTACTTAGTGACATGTCATTATAAGCTAGTGCACACGTCAGCCAATGTTACTTAGTGACATGTCATTTTAAGCTAATTTGCACACGTTAGCCAAAGGAACTTTGTGATGTCATTATAACTTATAAGCTGGTGCACACGTCAGCTGAAGGAACTTTGTGATGTCATTATAAGCTAGTGCACAGTGGCACACGTCAGTCAAAGGAACTTTGTGATGTCATTATAACTTATAAGCTGGTGCACACATCAGCCAAAGGAACTTTGTGATGTCATTATAATAAGCTGGTGCACACATCAGCCAAAGGAACTTTGTGATGTCATTATAAGCTAGTGCACACGTCAGTCAAAGGAACTTTGTGATGTCATTATAACTTATTAGCTGGTGCTGTCGGCTGTGGTGCAAACGTCAGCCGAAGGAACTTTGTGATGTCATTATAAGCTGGTGCACACGTCAGCCAAAGGAACTTTGTGATGTCATTATAAGCTAGTGCACATGTTACTGATGTTAGGCATTGTTAGCCAAAGCTCCAAAGGAACTTTGTGATGTCATTATCAGCTAGTGCACATGTCAGGTTGTCAGCCAAAGGAACTTTGTAATGTCATTATAACTTATAAGCAATAATAAGCTGGTGCACACATCAGCCAAAGAAACTTTGTGATGTCATTATCAATATCAGCTAGTGCACACGTTAGAGAAAGGAACTTTTTTATATCATTCAACTACTGTAAAATGGGGTAACTTAGACCGGCGGGGTAACTTAGACCACTTTTCGTTTTTTTAACAAAAACCCCCACAACTCAAAAACTATTTGACATAGAAAAATTTTGTCAATGGGCATTAAAGGCCTAATAGGTACTGAGGCTACATAACACAATAGAAAGATTTGAAAAGTTTGCATATCTAATAGGTTGAAAAATTAAATATGTGCCCCATGAAAAAAAGCTATTATTTAAAGCCTGTCAGAGTACCCCCTCCAATTTTTCTATTTTTTAGTTAAATAACTCTAGGTTTTGATGCTTTGTAGTAGAACTCTTCTAGTTATATATGCAAATGACAAATTTTAGGAAAGTGTCATAGTTTGCAAATGGAGGCGCTGCCCCCAAATGGGGTAACTTAGACCACCTAATGTCAGCCCTGATGGGGTAACATAGACCAGCTTGGAAGTCAATATAAAATTACCATATATGACATATTTTATGTTTGACAGCCTATTTATGTTTTTTCTTTATGTTTCAGACTCTACAGAGTCTTATATATGGTAATTTATGTGTACAAGCTCTTGTGTACAAGCTCTTGTGTACAAGCTCTTGTGTACAAGCTCTTGTGTACAAGCTCTTGTGTACAAGCTCTTGTGTACAAGCACCTGCATGCGTGTCCCAGGTGTACCGTGCTGCACGTTTCCCAGTTGTACACATGTGCTCAGTTACTTTTTACTCAAAGAAATGTTGTTGCAAGAAATTGCAAAATAATGTAGAAGATATACTGTATTGCAATAGATACGTATGTATTTATTATATAACCGTATGATACGTATATAACCCTTGTTATATACGTATCTATTACAGTAGATATTAGAAACGGTAATAGATATATGATACACTCTGGCTATATATTTATTACAGTAGATATTAGAGAATCTAATATATACAGGGTGATTCACGAAAAACATCCTGATTTGAAAGCTCAGTAAAAAAGAACTAGTAAAGATATCATTAAAAAAATTTTTATTGAAAAAGACATAACCTGAAGTTTCGTATAACTTAGTTTAAAAATGACTGCGGACAACTTACGTCCCTCATCGTCAATGCATTCAGTTGGTCGATTTTTGAAGTTCCGTTCAACTCGCTGAAGCATATTGACGGGTATGTTGACGATGACTTGCCGTATGTTGTTCTTCAAATGAGGTAGGGTCCTTGGACATCACTGTAAACAATTGATTTAAGATTACCCAAAAAATCTCTCAGAGCCAAATTGGGGGATCGTGCCGGCCGAAGGTCACCTCTCAATTAAGGAGATGAGATCAATATGCTTCAGCGAGTTGAACGGAACTTCAACAATTGACTTACTGAATTCATTGACAATGGGGTCCGCCATTTGTCCGATGTCATCTTTAAAACTAAGTGATACAAAAATTCCGGCATTGTTTTTTTCAATGAAATTTATATTGTAATGATGTCTCCAGCAATTATTTTTTTACTTAGCTATAAAATCGGAAAGTTTCCGTAAATAATTCTGTAAATGATAAACCCTGGTCACTATACACGAGTATATTGACTCATAAAACGCTGCTTACTTTTATAGGCAAGTTGGTATATAACTGCAGTAAAGGCGAATAAACGATTGCCACTTAACGGCAAATCAGTAGTCGCTGTAACTGATTACTAATTTGTGCTGAGTTGCAGTAAATTTTGCGTCACACTTCAATGCGAGTTCAACAACGCGAGGTTCTGTCCCAATCGTACCGCACGCATCTGGCCACGCGTTCATGGCTTTCAGTAATAAATAAACTACTGCCTTATTCACATGAATGAAAGTGAAATTTTCCAGTCCAGCTGTAAATGATTCCATTATATGTTGGAAAATATCCCCAGTACCAAAGTGTTATTGGTACTCGGAGTCAGCGAGCAGGAGGTAACGCTCCCTCATGGGGGCACTTTCCGCCTTGGCCTGCAGGGGTCGCATTATAAAAAACTCATAAAGAGTTTGCAACTCCATCAGCCAATCGTTTTTCATGTTAAACCCACCTATTACAAACGAGAAATCAGCTGCTCCGTTTACTTAAGCGAGTTTTGAAAATACAGCCTTTGAACACCTTTAGTTTTGACGCCACTGCTGCTGCCCTAGAATAGCTTACGTCTTTGAGCGTCAGCTGGACTTGTTTCTTTGTGGTTTATTCCAAAGTAAGGACTCAAAGATATTCCGCAAGTATAAATTAGATAGACATATAAAAAATGGCGGGCATAATAAATAGTTATTTAAGGAATTTGCTAGAGTTGCTTGCTGAGTGTTTGAATTACACTAGCATTAGCTAGTCATCAGTACTACTCTCACTAATATTAGCTAGTCTTCAATATTACTGTAACTAATATCAGGTAGACGTCACGTCTGCCGGGAATTCGTCTGGATTCGACACCTGCAAGGCGGCTGCGGCCGAGGAACCCATCGCGACGGTCGTATTTAAGACCTTGCATCTGACGACCGCCTCTGGGGCGCCCGTGGTGAGGCCATAAGAAAGCAACATCCATCCTAAATGAAATTGATGAGTAATGAAATAATATTATATCATATAAATATTTATACACCATAAAGCGATAACATATATAAATGATAACGCACGTCTCATGACTGCCGCGAGTATACCAGTCATGGCTGAAATCGTCCCTCCCGGTTACGGGAGGGCCGCATCAACAAAAATAGTTACGAGCTCGTAACTCTGTCAGCCAATCTCTGACGGCTTTTTAAGCTAAACTCACCAAACACAAACGAGAAATGCGGCAAAACAAGTTTTGACAGCACAACATCTGAATAGTTTGCGTTCCAAACGCTAAATGATATTGAATATACAAGTAATAAATCATATTATGTCATTTAATATAGGGAGTTTTTTTTTACTAGACCGTTCTTTTGCCGATTGTTTACTTTCTCACTTTTTTCACAACCTTCCGGCTACCTTTCTTATTTCGAGCAGAATTCCTACAACTAGCTCTGGATTTCAAACCCCCTTTCAAACAGCTCCAATTTTGGTGATCTCAACTGCTCAACCATCTCGAGCTCAACAACGACTAGAAAAGCTATGGCTTAAGTTCTCATGAATAATTTTCCGATTAATGAGAAACTAATGAATAGCAGCCAATCAATCATTCTTCTCATCGAAAATTCTCAAGATCCTTTGCTCGTAAATTATACGTGCAGAGACGCAAGATAGACACTTGGCTGATTGGCCTTGAATATTTCTAAGCAACAAATATCTGCAATGATGCTACATGCATTAAAATGTGATTTATCGAGAAGTACATTAATGCACCTTGAAATTTTGCATGCAGGTCTACGAACTCGTCATAGGGTCAGGCTCGACTCAAGCGGAGCAGGTTTATTCCATCGACTATTTCGATCCCAGCAGTTTAATCGGCAGAGACAGGACGCCTCTTCCCGAATGTGCCAGAAGGGCCGCCCTGGCAGGTTGTACTATACAAATGCTATACATTATACAAATGCTATACATTATACAAATGCTATACAGTATACAAATGCTATATCAAATCAATAGTTCCTAACCTTAATGTGATCGAGTGCCACCTACAGGTCACGTTCAATAGTCGCTTACCAAGGTACCACCAAGAACCCGCCGCGGAGCACATTTGCGACATATCAGCCACTATTGTTTACTATTAGTTGCATTTTAACTAATTTAAAGCTCTAAAAATTTTCGCAGCATGTAAATGTTTGGTTTGCAAATAATTATGTGTCGCTGGGAAATGTGGTTGGCGTCTGGCAACTACAACAAATCGTTGCCAGACTGTTTTCTATTCAGCAGTAAACATTTATGCATGAGAAAAATTAAATCAAGTTAATCATGAACTAGAAATTATTCACGTAACATCTGGAAAGCTCAGCCTCCTACAGGTTGAAATCCATGGAGTTGAATGGAAAATAGTTTGAATGCGTTTTTGTAATTAACATACTCAAAAAAAAAAAAACGATTCATTGCCAACCAAACTCGATATTAATTTTCTTCAGGTCAATCAACAAATCAATTAGATGCAAAATGGTTTCCAACAAAATTTCGTTATTATATTCAATGGTTTAGGAAATTCTTTAAATATAGTGCGTATGAAGTTCAGATAATTTAACCTCCACTTAGACAATAAAAATGTATAAAAATTCGGACTGCAGTTGGCAACTGGCAACGCAAAAGACTACTACACTTCTGTAGACTACGATAAGTTGTCGCTTAGTAATTGAGAACTAGTAAATTCAATCTGGATTTGGTTCTGCTACCATTATTGAGCGTACATAAATTTATTGACACTCAATTATCTGTCCCTTGTCGCCGTTTCGGCCTCATATCCACGTTTATAGTTTTAACCTGAACCCTGAAATTGTACGATTCTCTCACTCAGAAAAGTAATGAGTCATAATGTCCAAATAATGACACACTGTCTCACGCCCCGCAAGAAAAGAGAATGGACGCAGCAGTAATACACTAGTATGCCGGACAAACTGGGCTTGGACGGCCCACACTTTGGCAAAAAGTACATGACAAAATTTAGACAAAATCTCACTCATTTCTCCGAATTTATAATTTTTGATGAATTGCAGATCTACCAGGCTTTGTGTGGAATGGAATGTGCTCAGGAATTGCGAAGCTGAGAGCAAGCTTCTGTGGATGCCGGCTAGGACGCCTAGAAAGCATGGAACTGTACGTCAAACCCCAATACATTCTACTCGGCGGGACCGATCCATTGAACGGTGAGTAACGATCGGTCGTATATAACTAATTATCTAATGTTTGTGGAATAAACTTACCAGTTCATAAGCCAAGAATTTAAAAGCAATGAAAACACAAGAAAATTTACCGTATTTCGGTTAAAAATTTTCTGATACCCGGTAAATCATCATTTCAACATTCAATAATATTCAAAATATAATAGAGCTATTTCATGTAAATACTTCGTGCCACCTCATCAGCCATCAACTCGACGTTACTGCTTTAACGCTCTTACTCACATTCAGAAAAAACTCAAGAAAATCCCCTTGTGACTCTGCAATATTTCAGAGGCCTTGGCGTCCTCAAAGCCACTCATCTGACTCATAAAAATCCCTACTGGATTCTATGCAATCACGAATGACGCCTCTGCTAAAGACAAACTAACATCCCAGAAAGCTATGGAACTTTTTGTAATAATCAACCTATCACCTATTATTCCTTCAGACCCACGATCTTAACTTACCATTTTCGTACACCAACTAGGCAGAGGCATTTAGGCAGGAATAATCCAACGTAAATTGCCGATTTAATCCCAACAATGAAAACGGTCCAGCGCGATGCTCCGCCGCATCATGGTCAGGTGTTGACGTCACGCGATGCTCCGCAGCTGCTGGTGCATCTGCAGCTAATTACTCTCTCTTTACAGATGATCCCAGCAAGATAAACGCTACTTATTGGGGCACCCACGTGATAAAAATCGAGAGCAACTTCGCTCATGATTTTCCCGACCCAGAATTGGATCCATTTTGGCCCCGAATAGGTGAGAGATAGCCAAGTGACCCCAGTCCTCTATGTCAGCTGAAACGGGAGGCTAAGTGGACAAAGCCAAAAAAGCCAAAAGTTCCCTGTCTCACATCATACCGATAATTATTTGCTTGATGCCACACACCTTTACTCTACTCATCGGTGATACCGTGACGACTTCAACGCACGGCTCGCCGCTACCTACGTGTGTAGCAGACCACCCTGTGTAGCATCAGGTTTAATTGTCTTAGGGACTCAAAGCTTCATTGTATTTATATTATTCAATTTTTATTACTCTTTGGCTTGGAGTTCATTGTATTCCATATTAACCGCTGAGATGTTACACTGCATTTTCTGACACTATAAACAACCACGTTGGATTAATGCTGCATTGCTAAGAAAAGCGTCAGAAATTGATTTGTTTCTGAACAACTAGTTTTTAGAATGTATTTACTTTGAACAGGATTTGTTACTGTGCATGAAAGGCGAGTAATTGAAAAGGACCACAACTCGATTAAATTCAAACATGTTCTTTTCTCGGTAAATAGAATTGTTCAAGAGGGACCCCGAATTGTACAAGAGGGGGAAGGCATATACGTTCAAGCCAGAGGCCACTGACTTGGAATCCTGCAGGACCACTGATCCTTGTGGCCTCGTCGTCCGCTTCTCTCTTCCCCTGCCTGGTCTCCAACCCGTCATACTGCGTCAGTAAACTTTTAAGTCGTGACGCCCGCATAACCTCGAATGAGTCTCGTATCCTTTTATTCGTTGTGCCTCCTTGTTTCCTGAACAGCTCAGAAAGTCGAGTGCTTGTGTGTGTTATGGAATTGAAACTTTCATTATGAATAGTTTCATTAGTAATAGTTTGAACAAAGGACTTTAAATTATTGCATGATATTCAATCGATAAATTATGATCGATAATCGATAATAATTAAAAACACTTGATTATTTAGCGTTTTTATTTTGGATTGATTTTCTTAATCAATCGCCACAATTGTATCACCAATGCGCGAATGTAGCCAAACCTTGTACATTCCAGTCAAAAGCTGCGGCCAGACGATCACCCTCCCCGACCTCAGTGGACAAAATTTGTACCTCCTTTCGCATCCTGGGTTTGGGTGCCGTTATTTCCCCAACAACCCGGCCACTAACTGCACTCTCACCTTGAAACACGCGACAAGTTCCACCGCAAGTCTCAAGATTGTGTTCTCAGATGCCAATGACGTAAAAGGCGCCAACTCTTACGACTTCGTGAGTGCTGACAGTTGCGACGGATACAGCCTTGAGTTCGACACGGACGGGGCCGGGAGCGGCGCCAACCTCGACTACTGCAGCAGTACAACAGTGAGCGCCGAGTGCATGATTGTTTCTGTTGGTGGCTCCAAGCGATGCGTTGTGCTGTTGGTGTAGTTGATAGCTCCATGCGATGCGTTGTGTCTGTTTTTGTTGTTGATGATCCACGATTCTTGGTCATGCCAAGAAGCCAGCAGTGTGCAAGAAGGCAACCACCCGAGCCGGCTCTGACCAAAGTTGAGCGAGGGTAGGTGGTTGTGGAGTGTGGGTGAGATTATGGGTGCCCAGCCTGGACTGGCATAATCCAACTCTAAGCGTATATAATGTTTGCATCCTGTATTGGAAAGGTTTCTTTGTTCTGTCCAAAGTTTGTTCCTGTGAGGGCCCCTAAAGTGAATAAACTAGGTCTGAATTTTGTTTTGATGTTCTGTATGTGTGGTCTGAAAGACATGAAAGTGTTGTAAGTGACACTATAGAATCTTGGTTTCATGCGTTTGTTGTATGATGGTGCTTTTTAGCGTGACTGAAGGTCTGCGTTGCTGCTTCTTTGTGTGATTTGTTAAATTGTTAGTAGTGTGCTTGTAGATAAGTTAGGGGCTTAGGGCTACTCTGCGTCTTGTGCGTGCTGGCCAGTCCTCAAGCTGTGTGATGTAGGGTTGAACCTGTATGAAGTCTGAGTTTGCATAGTTTGCATTAGTATGCGTCGATGTAATTATGATGTCATCCGCGTAGAATGCGATGTGCATTTAAATATTGAAATGAGAAACTTACTCGGTGGAGCGACTGCTCGGCCTGCTGTCATCTGCTGCAGCCATTAATCCATACGTCTGTAAGAGTACCTATAGATTTACTCATCGTTCCGTCCACCACTCCTCACATGTCTTAGCGCCCATGCCGTAGTGGCGAAATAAGCGTCCTGCTGCTACCTATCGAGCAGTGCGCGACAACGGTGTGTTCGTCATCACTGGCTATTGGCCGTTGCTACGGCGGGAATCATTTGCGACTATCAACGTCGGCGAATGCTACTGCTGAGCGTGACTGAATTTCGAAAGCCTATGTCGACCCGAAGTCCTTAAAACCTGCTTAGCGTTCGTGTTGATTGCTACTATGCACAGCCGTGATGCCGGTCATCGTAAGGCTGCCTCAACATCCGTTCGCTGAATAACAAGGTTGATGAGTTTCTTCACATTTATCGCTTGCACTCGCTAGATGTCATCTTCCTACCTGGCTAAACGCTGACTCGGTTTACATCGCGCGTCTTCGCGCTGATGGACTCCAGATGTTCGAGCGCACGCGGCCGCGCATGCAACCCGAAACCATGGCGACGAATTACGGTGGAGTAGCTACCGTAACCAGCAGGGGCAATGGGGCATGCACCTTACCATTCTTGACATCGGCGCTCGTCCCACCACATTTGAGCTGCTATGTGCTAGGGTCACCTGCGCCTCGTTTACGGGCGTTGTAGTAACCGTCTATTGTCCTGGATCGATTGCTGTGGTGCGCGATTTTTTCATCGAATTGAGCGATGTCTTCACCAGACTTGTGACTTATCCCGATCATGTCCCTGCGCTTTAACTGCACCTGCGGTTTAAACGTTCGACTGGATCGCGTCGACGACTCATCGGCTTGTCAGCTGCACAACCTTCTGGCCATCCCTGGAATGGTTTGTCACGTGACCTTCCCGACGCACGGCATGGGTGGACTGCTGGACGTTGTCATAACGAGTGCTGATCTCCAAAGACTGCCAGTTGACATTATCGAGATCGCAATATCCAACAATCGACTACTTCAGTGGACGGTGCCATGTGTGCGCCCGGCGCCAGCGTAAAAAAACCGTTACTCGTCGTTCGCGACGCGGTCTCGATGGAGATGACGCGGCCTCTGACCTGTGCACTCGATGACCTCATTCCTGCACGCACAGTTCGGGTACCCCCAACGAGTCTGTCTCCGATCTATGGTTCGACGATAAATGTCGGTTCTCGAAGCGGGGGGTTCGACTCCTACAGCGGGCTAGCTACCGGGCGAAAAGACGAGGCAATCCTGCTGCTGCAGCTGCTGTGGCCTCCACCTGGTGAAATATGCAGCGCAATTATGTCGACCTTTTTCGATCTAAAAGAGAGTCATTTTGGCGCTAGAGATTCGACGCGCAACGCAGTGACCCTCGAGCGCTGTGGAGTTCGCAGGATAAACTCATGGGAAGAGGTCATACAGATGCTTCGGGTGACGTAAGCGTGGAGGAATTCCATGGTGTTTTGAAAACAAATTTCTGCTATGCGAGCACTGTCGGCCGATGCTCCGCCGGCAACATTTGCGCCGTACCCGTTCGACTGCATGCTCCAAGATTTCCTTTCCGTCATAGCTGACGATGTCATCACTGCAGTACGCGCGTTGCCTAATAAGCAGTGGACCACCGATCCGCTGCTGACGTTGTAACTTAAGGGAAATATCGTAACCCTAGTACCACTTTTTGGTCGAACTTCTTAGCGCCGGTAGGCGTACATTGCGCCGCTATTGAAAAAAAACAGACCTTGACGCTTCTGACCCCAAATCGTATCGACCCATCTTCAACCTGTCAATTTCGTCGATTCTCCCGGAACGCGTTGTGGCCCGACAGCTGAACAGCCATCTTCAGCAGTCCGGTATTATGCCTCGCCTTCAGTTTGCATACCGTCATCCCCACTCGACGGAAACCGCTGTCATCCGCTTCCGGCAAACCTTATTCGCGCGAGCAACAAGTCCATCATGTCTGCGTCTTCGGGTAGCAGCCTTGGCATTCTGCTGGACTTTCTATAAACAATTAAATAGCCAAAGTCGCCACTGCTTGTTTTGGCGCTCTGCGACAAATACGTAGAGTCAGTTGCTGTCTCTCAAGGCCGGTTTATGGAGCCTTCGTGTTGTCGTTCTGACCCGATTGGACTATGGACATGCCACACTCTATGGACTTTCGACCACGGCATAAAATAAACTGCAATTCGTAATGAACGCTGCTGCGCGACTCTTTTCCAATAAGGGAAAATTCAACCACGTGGCGACGATATAGCGCGATTTTCACCGGCTGCGCATGCAGCAGCGCACGCAGTTCAAGGTCGCTATTCTGACGTTCCGATGCCGTCACGGTCTGGCGCACCCTTATCTCACGGAATGTCTGCAGCGCGCGTCGGATCTGGCTTCTAGAAGACGACTGCGTTCGTCATCAACGGCGGACCTTGTAGTTCCATCTACACGTCTATCTACTGTCGGCGACTCAGAGTTCCCGGGCGCCAGTGACTGAGACAGCCAGCCGGCTTCCGTAACTTCGGCTCCTTCGTTGCTAAGATAGGACTCCCAAAACCTAGGAGTCTAAAACGAAATAGTTCCTAAAGACGGAACTATTTCGTAGAGCAAAGTGCTTAGTCATTTTATCCGTTCCCATCCTTTCTTGTGTCTATTTATTTTTCACTTGCTATTTATGATTTATCTTATGTGTGATGTGCCCTCGAAGTTCGTTTGAACCAGACGCCACGAGAAATGCTTCGTAGAATAATAATTTACTAATAATGAGAATCTGATGTTTTGCGGTATCCGATGTTGAGGAAAAGGATTTGTGGCAAGTGTTGTCTAGTTGAAATTAGTAATTGTGTCTGTGAATTTGTCTGTCTGCCCTGTGCTAGGGCAGATCATTGATAATTGTATAATGGTTTATTAGTATGTTGGAGTGTTGTTGGCGTGAATGGATGGTATCCGAGGTGGTAATCGATGAGTGAAATGGGGTGAGGCCATTGCTAGAGTTGGTGAGACTGCGGATTTTTCTATACAGTTTTGATGAGTCAGTGCTGTTGTTGATTGTTGCCAAATCCTCTTCTCATCGTAGCTTCTGTTTATTGATTATTGAGGTTTTAATTTGTTCATTTCATTCGAGAATGTGATGTATGGTTGCCTGTGAGTGCGGTGTTGGTGTGCGTCGCAAGTTTTTCTGTATTCTGATGAGACGATCGATGTACAGGCGTAAAATCGTGGTTGTTGTTCTTCCTGTTGCCCTTGAGGACATATTTCTTGTCTGTCTCGGTGATGATGGTGTTAAAGCGGGTGAGGGTGCGGTCTGTGTTGGTGATGGGTTTCGTGTTCAGCTCGCGAAAGCGGGCCTCCGTTTGCCGGGTGAAGTCTTCCCAGGAGCTGCGCTTGTAATTGTGAATGGTTCTTGAGGTGTGCAGGTTGGTCTTTAGCGGAAAGCATGTGATGATAATGGGTAAGTGATCGGATGAGAGGTCTGTTTCCACTCTACATGAGGCAAGCTTTGTATGAAAGTGGTGGAGAGTAGTTAGGGATGTCCGGAGTGGTAGGTACTGTATGTGGGAGTGAGTGTGTTGTTTAGAAAGAAGAGCATGTCTAGTTGGTTGCAAGTCTCCACCCCCTCGAGCGTTGGTGTCTTTGTGGGTTGTACCAGCCTGTGTAATTTGCGCTGAAGTCACCTCCAAAGATCAAGTCTGGCAGTGGTAGTGTGTTTAATGCTTGGAGTGTGGGGGTGTAGTGGGCCGTTGTGTCTGCTGGTGGTGTTGATGGCTCCGAACGATGCGCTGTGTCAAGTCAAGCGCATTGTTCAAGTCAAGCGCATCGATGACTTGAGCGCATCGTTCGCTCAAGTCAACTAACTCACTCAAGTCAACCTACTTTACTCAAGTCAACCTAATTTACTTAGTCAACCTATTTTACTCAAGTCAACCTACTTTACTCAAGTAAACCTAATTTACTCAAGTCAACCTACTTTACCCAAGTCAGCCTAATTTACTCAAGTCAACCTTTACTCAAGCCAACCTAATTTACTCAAGTCAACCTACTTTAACGCCTTCAAAAACAGACTAGACGAAGCTATGCAGGTGCACATGTTCAGTCTTAAAATGCCTAGCAAATTACGGGCCAGGCAATAAATCCAGCAGCTATCTCAATCAATCGTCAGTTATGGAAAGATCGGGTTCCAAAGGCCGGATCCCTTTTGAATCAAGTCACGAAAAATTCAAGAATCGGCAACAGGCCATGGGTCTATTTCTTCAGTGCCGACACTTCTATTCTATTCTATTCTACTTTACTCAAGTCAACATAATATACTCAAGGCAATCTACTTTTCTCATGTCAACCTACTTTAATCAAGTCAACATACTTTACTCAAGGCAACATTTTTTACTAAGTCAACATAATTTACTCAAGTCAACATACTTTACTCAAGTCAATCTACTTTTCTCATGTCAACCTACTTTACTCAAGTCAACATACTTTACTCAAGTCAATCTACTTTACTCATGTCAACGTTTTTTACTCAAGTCAACCTACTTTACTCAAGTCAACATACTTTACTCAAATAAACCTACTTTACTCAAGTCAACATACTTTACTCAAGTGAACATACTTTATTCAAGTCAACCTACTTTTCTCACGTCAACCCACTTTATTCACGTTAACCTACTTTACTTAAGCTAACCCATTTTAATCTACAAACCTAACCCTTGAAGTTTGCTAAAATTATAGTTAATTTTCTTTCTAGAATGAAGTGGAATTCAAGGGACAGCTCACCGTCATCCTGAAGGGATCATCAATTAACAACCGCCCCAAAATTGGGTTCTCATGCAGGATTATGAATAACTAACGAAATCACAGTGAATCTGATGATGGGACTAGAACATTCATTGATGATTTGATGTGGGCCAGAGGCCGGATGATAAATTGATGTTTTTTTTTGTCATATTGGCACGCGTGACGGCTTTTTCCTGAGTGTTGATTGATCGCACGGCTTTCAGCTAATTGATTAAATTTGGTACCTTAATTTGAGTTGTGCCTCATTTCCTTTGTCCACTTAGGAAATCGACCAATGATCTTACATACTCTCTCCAATACGTCAACAAGTTAATTATAGTGTATTAGATTTTTTGGCGCTGGTAAATTATCTTGGAAAATGTCACTGCCTGTAGGACACGAACTTCAAACTTTATATGGCCTACCAATAAAGTCCTGCCGTAACAAATCTCAATACCATCATATTAAATAAACTAAATGAAATTTTGACCAAATAAGTTTGGAAGAGAGCGAAAATGTGAGAATATTATTCATAGAAATGCAAGTTTAAAATGTGAAAACTTTATGTTCTTTTTATAAATTAATTTTATTTTATGGAAATTACTCGCGTCACACCAATGCTCGTAATTTACTGTCGGTAGTAACGGCTTGGGTAAGTTTTAGTTGTTTTTTACTCGTTAAATAAGTTAAAAAACTAAGAAACACCTAGTGTAAATGGATGTCGGTTACTTTAGTCAAATTAAATTATTAAATAATTTGTCTTGTAAAAAGTGGTTAAATTACTTTTTATATGGACGTTTGGAGTGGAAGAAGTGGCAAGTAATATGACTGTTCTATTCAAATCTCTGTAAATTGTTATCACGGCAGCGGATCTCGCTGCGTAAATACTTTTATATTTAAGAAATGAGTGTAGAAAGAATGCATGCGCTCCCGTTGGCAACACTCATTTCCGGTAGATCACAATATATATAGCGGTTTCAGCGTTATTAGGCCGTAGGCCTGTCGCCGATTCTTGACATCGCAGAACATTCACAGCGTTTTGCGGTCTCGAACTCGCAACTCACTGCTACAATTCTGCTTTTGCTTAACCGCTCGGCCTCCTTGCCGACTCTGACCAGAAACTGGCGCACAGAGCTGGGATCGAACCCGCGCCTCTCTGTTCCAATCTTGGTACTCTGAACTGTAACCACTGGGCCACAAGAACCGCCGAATCTCAGCTCACTCACACCACAGCCGCAGTTCCAGCAGGATTGTGCAACTTCACGTCAGCACCAACAACGCACACATTGCTGCCCTTGTAACGTCACTACAAGAACATGTGAAACTCCACGTGACTCGTACAACTCCACGTTCATCTAACCAAGGCACGTGCATCTCACCACACCCCGTGCATCTCTACACGACACGTGCATCTCATCACGCCTCGTGTATCTCACTACGCCACGTGCATCTCACCACACCACGTGCATCTCTACGTCACGTGTATCTCACCACGCCACATGTATCTCACCATGCCACGTGTATCTCACCACGTCAGGTGCATCTCACCACGCAACGTGCACCACGCCACGTGCACCTCACCACGCCACGTGCACCTCACCACGCCACGTGCACCTCACCACGCCACGCGCACCTCACCACGCCACGTGCACCTCACCACGCCACGCGCACCTCACCACGCCACGTGCACCTCACCACGCCACGCGCACCTCACCACGCCACGTCCACCTCTCCACTCTACGAGCATCTCGTCATCACCACGTGCCTTGTCTCCTAGTTCGTCCCGTGGCCACAACGCATCATCAAGCCGGTCACGTGAGCTAAGAATAAACTGCCAATTATCAATTTGTTGTCATTAACCTATCAATTTCATCATGCCGCCCTAGTTGATTTCAATCTGTGCCTATTAGCAAAACTCTTGTTACCCTGGCCTTGAAAACCAGGTTGCCAGCCTCCATATCACACTCATTCTACAACCACAACAAGGAATTTGGGGATGCCCGACGCCCGCCGAGAGAGACCACCACTGCTGTGCTGCGAATGGATCACCATGATGCCTTCACACAAGAACGTAGCCTGAAACACTTTCGGACTAAACATTAGCCGCAAGCAACCAGGCGGATCACATTCATCGCAATAGGTCAATCAGCTCACAGTTTGGCCCAGAATCGTCTGCCAGTGAGCGAAAAAAATTCTGCCCCATCCTGGCACAGCGCGCCGGAGCCTTGCAGTAAATTTGTGTACCGCAACCAACCCGTCCGTATTCATCATTGGCATCGGATCAGCCCATGGTGGAAGGGTGGCTCGTCCATGAACGATAGAATTTGGAACATAACTATGCTATCTTAAACCTAACTCCTGATGCCGTGAGCTAAAAGTTACGTAATTTAACGAAGCCCCGGAAGTCACATCGCCGAAGGACGATAGATTTTGGAACAAAATTATGCTATCTGAAACCTAACTTCAGAAGCTGTGAGCTAAAAGTGACGTAATTGAGCGAAGCGTCGGAAGTCGTGTCCGATACGCGGACTGGTGGTGCACGGCAGGATTTATGCAGTTCCACTGGAGAGCTAGGCTGATTGGTTGCAGTCCGTTGCCCGATGGTTACAGACTTACAGTACTAAACTAGAGTCAGGGTATGAAGTGATGATTCGATGTAATGTTCAGTGGTGGACGATCCTTACACTCTGGGCTACCCACTTCAGAATATGGTGGCGTTTGCTCTAGATATTCAAAACAAGATGACATCATGGGCTGGTTACTGACGGCAGGAATGGCCTTGCGGAGATATCCTAGGCGTTCTATTCATGGCTGATTGCTGCACGAAATTATTAGTGCATGGCTGCGCCCCCGGAATATTTGGTGACTTCTGAAGGTATCCGCGTAACCGGAAATAACAGATATTTTGACGTAGAAGTTTATATTGATGACAATGACACGAATGAAGAAAATCAGTTGCGTTCACGGCGAAAACACGTGTGAGGTTTGCGATCTCAAAAGTAACCGGTAAATTTGTGAGTCTCTTAGTTTCTCTTAAGTGATTACCATCTTAACTCTCAAGTGTTCCTCATTTACCCGACTCACTAGGTTGCAAGCCTGGTTACCAGTCTATAGAATACCAGTGCTGCTCAAATATTTTTTACGGTTACCACCGTCCACCGTTAACTTATGCTAACGACAGCACACAGCTGCGCCCACAACAACCGGACAGAAGAAACATAAAGAACGGAATTTCTGTTACTTCTGGTGAACGTGCATGATATCGGAAAAATTAATCAGAATGTAAATTTTGCCCCAATTCGTTGACTACATACATCGAATGCCGTTGATTCAAAACTACTAAGTTATGCATGTTCATAAAAATGGTCCTATTCATTCAATATTATCAGGGTTTAGCGTATTGTCGAGTTATAAAAAGACTGTTTTTGATGTTATTTTTACGTAACTACTTACAATCTAGTTACCTTCGTGTCTGAAGACGTGGAGTAGATAAGTAATTCAATATACAAGTCATTGTTTCTCATTTGTACTAATTCAGATTACCACTGTTCTATGTTTTCATTAATTAAAAAATTGAAGCATAAAATTTTTAAAATTGACAAAAAGTAAATAAAAAAAATGAAACAGTTAAAAATTAAGAACAGTGCAGGTAACCTGGAAACCAATTAAATTAATATATAGTTATTTGCTCGGTTCACAGCTATAAATGCCACAGTTCGAAACTTCTCGATACTACATTTTTTGGCTATGAAAATTAACTAAATTGAAAGGTAATTTCACATACTGTAACAAGGATTTATTTATATGGTACCTGCAACTCCAGAGTGTGTGTAGGACACCGAAAACTTGGAAAAACTATTATCTTGATCAATGAATAATTTTCCAGTAGGTAAAAGACAAAATATCAGTGTAAACAATTCATGCAATGTCATATGAATGATTGTGACCTGTAGCAAAAGGTTCATAAACTGCTAAATTCCGCTGAAAATATTAGCGGTGTTATCTCAGTGCTTCTAAAGTCAGTGATGCATTTTAAATTGACCACGACTGATTCTAATTTTAACATAATATATTTATTTTGTTTGGTTTATCGCGCCTTCTCCAATAATAATGGTGAAATATTTTCGAACAATTTTAGATGAAAACTTCATTTCGATGAAGCGAATTAATTTTCTAGTCCATCAAATTAATTTGCTCAGTTATAAAGTGAGATAGGCTTCTTATAAATAGGGATAAACTCATTCAGTATTTACTGGAAGCGCAACTGAAAATAAGAAACAATCACAACATTAACGCGGTCTCTACTTGTGCCATCACTCTGTGCATTGACGTCTTGAAAAATTGCGTCATGGAAATTCTTTCGTAATATCATCACCGGACGAGTTAGAAAAGTAACGTGAGTTTCGTCAGATCACTTCAAACATGATGCCATGCATTAATTTTTACTTTAAGATTTTGTTATGCTTCGGTGTAAAATGACCAGCGAAACTCGTTAAGTGAACGTAAAAGCTTACGCTCTATTTTCTTGTCCATGATTGGTGGATTTTGCTTGAAAGGCCGTCAATGAATGGCTGATGAACTTTCAATCTCTTAACTTTGTTTGAAAGTATGGGCCCAGAAGCGCAACCATGTAAGCAGGAAGAAAGAAAGTTAACGCCCAACACATGGAGGCTCTCGTGGGAAGGAGTCTCGCCTACAATGAGTTCTGCTCAAAGTAGAATATAATTTAATAATTTCATAACAATACCTGTCCGGAAAATATGTATGGAAATTTTTTACAAGGAAATGACAAATTAGACACCTCAGAGTCGCAAAATTAATATCTAAACGATATTCAAGAAAAAACCTCAAATGATTTCGTCACTTTAAAGCGTTCGAGCTGTATAAAGTTCATTTAGATGCGCATTAGGTAGATATGATTAATTAGCCTAATCAAGTGCAATTTGAGAAGGAGTAAATGATATTCCATTAGTAATATTAATTTAGTAATGATTGGCAATGTATGCAGGTAAATATGACGATATGCAAGTCAGTTATGGATTTATTGTTTGACCTCTGAGATGGAAATATTTACGAAAGTGGACAAGCATATATTAATTTATGTAAACAGTAGAAAAAAATATAGTAGACGCAACAGGCGTAACACCATCGTCTATATAGCTCTTCACAACTTTTTCAAATATTCTAGTTAAGCTGAATGCGGACATGAACCGCCAATTAAACAACAAGCAGTAGCAATACCATCCTCAACAAGCAGTAGCAATACCTGGCCTTGGAGCTAACGTTCCCTTTCCCTGTCCAACGTCAATTTTCAACATTCATTAGCTATACTCGGCCATGGCGAAAACACTCACTTTCAACATTCATTAGCTATACTCGGCCATGGAGCCAACGCTCACCTTCAACATTCATTAAACTATTCTCGGCTTTGCAGCCAACGCTCACCCTCAACATGTAGTAGCTAAACTCGGCTGTAAAACTACGAAGCCTCAGGCCTCGCTGGATGAGTTAGGTGCGGAGTCAGGCCAAAAGGGGAGAAACGACAATTATGGGTTTATGTATGTGATACGAATGTGGAGGACAAGGAAGAAATATGAATTAATTGTAAAGTCGAGTATAGCTGGCCTTCAACAGGCACCCCGTTTGGCACACGGAACTACATTTTCCTTCACTGTGCAGGGAGTAATGCCTAATTAATTTACAATTTCTGATACTCAAACTAAAAAAGATGTGCGAAAATAAGCTGCTTTCTTAATCAATTTATTGATTGGTGGCTATGTTCAAAATTGACCTAAATGCCTAATGGAGAAGCAGTAATTTAAAAGACTATCAGGAGCTACATTGCACCGCTCGAGCTACAGAGTAGCCACTGCCAGTTCATCAGATCCACATAATTGCGTTGATATTTTTTGGAACACAAATGAGGCTTTATCAGAAGACTGCATGATGAATGAATGTGTGGGCTCTTTGGTACTAATGTGAGCTCTCAGAAAATCTTCTGCAAGTGGAGTAAAAGTTTCAATAAAAAAAATATTGACTTGAATCATGGCAATTTTATCATTTTGCGGGCCGCATGCTTTGTTGAAGTGATTAGATTATCATAAACTACCGCCTATACGAGGGTAAAATACAGGTATCTCTGATTCAAATGCTTGTGGCTTCCGTACTTGCCATTATAATTCATAAGGTTCAACGGAATATTATTAAAGGTTAGAGTTGATTTAACTTTTTGATATAATTATATATAACAATACTTGTTAAAAAGTATTGCCAGCAGCACTCCAAAAACGTGAAAAATTTGTGTTTATTTCGGAATACAGAAATGTTGCTCGAATTCTAACAAAGAATTTAATATTAAAGTGCCTTGAATAAACCAATTTCATTCAAAACTCTATAAAATGCAAACAAAAATACATCCAAGTAGAACAGAAAGGTGTCCTTGCAAGAATCTTGACTGGCCAGTAAAATGATTCTTGGGCCATACCTTGCAACAAACCTGCTACACATTCTTTCTTATGAGTTTTTACTGCTTTTTCGAAATTCATAGAAATTCCGCAAACGACACTGAGCAAGTTTTCGCATAAGTCACTCAACTAACTTCCCTTATTAGGGTGGGCGAGTTCAGGGATAATTTTAATCTACGCAACATGCTAAGTGGACACGCTCGTCAGTGATTGCATAAGGCACTCAAAAGTTCTCACAACAAGAATTGAATGTCATTCTGCCTCAGCGTATGCATGTGAGTAAGTAAAAAGCTTTTCTGTCGTAATTTTTTTTGCGAAAAAATATAAAGTAGCTGTTTAGTGCAAATGCTA